ATATAAAAACCTAATGCAGCCTTCTCAGAGTGCTGGTCAGGAATAATAATCTTATAATAAATCAATAGCATTCCAAAGGTATTGTACATACCAATGTTGCAACTGTGTCAAAACAAGAGGCGGCTGTTAACCTAGTTGAGTCACACTAACTATGTGCATGGAAAGATAAAGCTATGTTTATGACATGTTAGGTACAAAGAAAAATGTAAGACATTGTGGAATTTAAACAGACACAGATCACATTTGCAGATAACCCTTAGATAAGCAGGAAAAATATTGTTATAGAGAGTGACAGAGGAAAGCACACAAGGTGGAGAAAAAATAATTGTAGTTTTCACTATCTTGCTCTTTAGTAAGCAGCTAATTATCACATATGTTTAACAGACAAGTCAAAATATTGGTTTGACCAGATCTACAAACTGTTACCTCAGGTGACTGTGTCTCTGCAAGTGATCTTACCCAGAATAAGGTGTAGCAGGAGAAAAGCAAAAGTGACAGAAAAATTCTGTCTTCCCCTTCTGTCATTTGTTTCCAGGCAGTATAAAGTTTAACTTATTTTATCTCTTAAAATGACACACAAAGGAAAAATTGTCCAGGCAACTGATAGGTTGGGCGTTATTTTTGCCCTCCCTTCTGCACATTGGTGTCACAGTGATACTCTCGCCCTGAACAGACTTCACAAGTTAGCTATATTCAGGACCTACCAGTATGCAGAACTAGCTCATTTTTCCCTCAATTTTTACCATATTTGTCAATAACTATTTTAATGTGTCTTCAGTAAAGACAGAGCTCTTGCACAGCATTTATCCACTTCTGTCAACAGGAAGTACAGAAGTTACTACATTCATATAGATCATTTGCTCAACTTCCACAGTTTGTAAATCAGCCAGTCTTACACGCTCTGTCAAGCATTAAGTTATGTTTGGCAGTGGACTAGTTTTATTTAATAGTTCTCTTCACTATAGATACTACGCCAAGAAGCATTTTAGACTCAGCAACACTGTTATTTATAGGGCTTTTTTCAAGGGTGGCAGTCTCAGTGTTGCAGTTCAAGTGATCTAACAATGTAGGTACTTGTCATACTTTAGCGCTCAGAGCTGTTTAACGCTGTATTGTGTATTCAGCACACCTGGAACATGCCATCTCTACACAGTAAAATTATGGATGTATGTTTGGATAAAGCATAACAGCCAAAGAAAGATGGGCCTTTATGATTGTACAGTCAGGTTCCCTCTGAAATGCTATTAGTGTCCCTCTCCTTTTGCCACGTAAGTAGGAGTTTCAGGAAGATGACTGTTATCACATATTTCATCTGTGTTCTGATTTCTCCACTGATCATAAAAAGACAGGAGAAGTCTAGAGAATTGCAAGAAACCACTAACTCCTGGTCAGGGTCTAGATATAAATAAGATAACACTTTTCCTAATGTTTCTGAAAATGAAGAGAAAGAATTAGGGGCAACGCTCCTCTCATGTCAAGAGGAGGTTACTAAACAAAAATCAGATACAGAAGTCCGTTGCAATAGGAAGGCACTAAAGCCAAGACAAGAATCCCCAGACAATGAAGCATAAGTCCATGTGTAGGACAGCAAATGGTGAATCAGTTAGTGTAGTACAGAGAAGAAAATGGAAGTGCAGTGGATAAGCTATAATATCACTACAGAAGATAAGACTAGGGAAATATATATGTGATAAGCTATACCAACAAAAAAGGGCCAATTCAAACAGTGCCAACAAGGATTACTGGAAATACTGTATCATTGCAAAAATCATTTAAAAGATAATTCCATGCTCATAGAATATCCTCAGACACGTGGAGACAATGATGGAGGCACGACAGAAAGATCTAAACAAATCCAACAAAGGTACTAAAAATTAGGTAACAATCTTTTTTCTCAGACACATGGAGACGATGGAGGCACGACAGAAAGATCTAAACAAATCCAACAAAGGTACTAAAAATTAGGTAACAATCTTTTTTTCTGTTTTTTTTCTTAAAATAAATTTCTCTGGTCTGATATTTCCCATGACCTAGTATAATTGCTTCTCAACCTCGTCACTTAGCTGCCTTCTAGCAAGAAGAATCTTTGTAAAAGATTTAGTCCTCATAATGTGTATTTCATTTGCAGTAAAATTCAAGTATTTCTGAAAAGTGTTATCAAAATTCATCTTAGGTTAATGTTCTTGACCATAAGTTTTTTTTTCACTTGAAGAATCATAGAAAGTGCATGCAAAAGGGATTCAAACATACAAGACAGGCTTGCAAAACAAAGGGAATATTTCTGGAAACTATTTTGTAGTCTTGGTTCAAACCTAAGTATAATTGCTTCTCAAACTTATTGCTTAGCTCCCTTCTAATAGGAAAAATCTTTGTAAAGAAACTGACAAAAAATACTGACAAAGTAATTAAAAGTACAAATGGAGTTGAAATAATTTTACATCACTGTACGAATAATTATAAGAGATTGTATAAAGCCATACATTAAAAAACCTTTCCTACATGCATGGAATGTGAAGGGAATAGTTTCACTTATTTTCTTCAGTGGTAATCTAGTCTTAGGCTGCTTTGGAGGGAAGGAGTTGGTTGCAGAACCTAGAACTTGAGCAGAAAAGACTCCAATGAGAGAAATGGCAATAAAAACAAAAAAGCAAACAAAAAGCCAAGGGTGAGATTTCTGGGAAGTATTGCTCTACAGGTTTTGTCCGATATTTGTTTCTCTTTGGTTTGTGCATTTTTCATATGGCTTGTAAGGAAATATTAGCATTTTCCTCCAACTCTACCTTAGAGAGGTAGAGACTGCTGCCAACTTCCAGTACAAACTCTGGAAAATATGTCAGAAGTATCACCTATGGAATTCCTTTCTCTAATCACTTCTGTCTCATGGAGTTTCTCCACCTCAATTGCTATAAATTCCTATCACCAGAGCTGTGGAATCCCCCTGGGTCACTTGACTATTTCAGTCCGTACCGTGATTCTACAATAAGTGATATTGTATAAACAGCAGACTAGATAGAAGGCACTGAAGTTGTTTCAGGTACTGATATAGTTCACCTTGCCTCAGGGATCTGGTGAATGGCATGTGTTATATAAAATATGCATAATTTTGTGGAGGTTTTCACATTTAGCTATTAAAGCCATTGCAGTTATTCCAGTCATTATCAAAACCGTGACCATGCAGTTGGCATCTTTAGAGAGCACAGGACCTCTCAATAAGCAATTTTTATTGAGAAAATCAGGTATGCAACTATGTTGACATTACACAAGTCCAGTACAAAATAAACAACAGTGAAGAAGGTCACAGTTGGCCCCTTCTCCAGGACAAGGGACTGGAACTTTTCAGGGTAGAGAAAATTCACAACAAAGAGATCTGCACTGCAACAGGCATCTATATGTAGAGCTTCAGTACTCCCTTCCAGTGAGTCTGTGGAGGGAATCCCCCTTTCTCCCAACCTGTTCCCCCACTTCATCATTTTAGAGAAGTCTATATGAGTGGATGATCAGTTATGAGAGTTTCAAGGGTTCTCTGAAATTCTTATTTTAGGGCAGAAAGGGAAAAGGAAATAGACAGCTGCATATAAAGTGGTGTCACACCCAAACAAGCAGTAGAGGATGTCACACAGATGATGCAGCTCTTACATGTACATGTGCAATATACTACATTTGACTTAAGATATTCTGTAAAGAAACTTTACTATAAATGTGTGTGCTACACATAAATGGGGAGGTGAGGGAGTGGGATCGTCTGATAAGGAACAACAGTTACGGATGATTAGTAATCCTCTTCCACAGAGGACTGCCAAAACTAGATCATTAGACCTGGCTGAAAGATCCCCTCTGTAAAGTTACTGAGATCCAGTTAGATTTGAAACATATATAAAAATTTCTTGGAACAATTTCCTTCCCAACAACACTTATGTAATGCACCTGCTGTAAAAGAACAAGGATTTTGGTGTTCTGGAGTACTCCACGAACTGATACTGGTGAACAAGTTTTCTAAAACGTAGAACAATTTAAGATGTGTAAGGGAGTACAAGAGAAGTAGAAGCATTTTAAGGTTAACTTTCTGATTTTACAGTATAGATTTTCATTCTTCCTGAAAGGCAGCTGTTTTCAAATATAAACACAGTATGTTTTAAATACACTAGATGATAGAATCATTATGTGTTCCTACCTCTTAAGCATCAGGTTTTACAAGGCTGTCAAAAAGTAAGCTCAAGTAAAACCCTATACAGGTTAACTCAGGCAAGCTGAATGTGATAGCAAACACATAGTTGCATATGCATAAGTGTTCGTATATTTTTCCATAGTTACTGTATTAGTATGCTGTGAAAACCAGAAGCTAACAGCATTAAAGAGAATTAAAGAGGAATAGTTATTCATTGAACAAGACAAATTAGCCATATAAACAAAAACAAAGAAAAATTTTTAAAGCTCCATACTTATTAAAAATTATATCTGATTTATTATTTTTAAATTAATTTTATCCCAAATTCTGAGTAAAAATCCTGGAAAAAATGTGGAAAAAATTGTTATTTATTACTATTTTAACTTCAAAATTTTCCAGGACTTGCAAACCATGGTGTCCAGATTAACCATCCATGTACGTCAGGGTGTCACTACTGCCTGCCTTTTTAAGTGCTATTTGGAATAACACTTAACCAGGTGAACGTTTAGCAAAAAGGCACAAACAAAAAAAAAGAAAAAACCTCTAAAAATAAAATCTGTTATCATGTTAAGAGCACCTCCATTTCCCAAAAATAATATTAAATAAATAAATTTTAAAATCTGTCCAGTGGGGAAAACTATCCAAATAAAGGAATCATAACTTCTGGCTTTTTACTGCCGATTGGAGGTGAGGGGAAGGAGATCATATGTGGGGCTGGGAACTCGGGGATTATTGTCTTGGGAGGGTAGGGAGATGGGGGAGAAAAAGAGGCCAAAGACTGGGGAGGGGGAAGGGAAGAGAAGGAAAGAGAGTAAGGAGCAGAAGGGGCACTTACTGTTTGGTTATCTTCATACAGCTTCAAGTCATATCCGCTCAGCTCCACACAGAAAATTATTGCTGTAACCCCCTCGAAACAGTGGATCCATTTTTTGCGTTCAGATCTCTGTCCACCCACATCCACCATTTTGAAAGTCAGCTCTTTGAAGGTGAATTTATTTTCTACAATCCCTGTAGTCATGTCCCGAGAACGCAGAATATCTTCCACTGTGGGGATGTAGTCCAGTGCTGCAATCCTTTCTAGGTCATTTAAATAGTATGCAGCATTATCCTCTAGGTGGTACTCATTGGAGCGGCAAAAACATTCCTGCACGCCAGGGTCTGCCCACAGCCGTTTCATGACTCCCAGAAGCTCAGGCGTAATCTCACCTTTGCTCTCAGCAGGCCCTGTCAGGGCAAAAAGCTGCACGGCATCATATGCTCTGTCAGGATTGTGAAATTCTATTTTAAGGGTGGCTAGAGCCCGAATGATACGTGTGAGGGAGTCAATCGCATTATAGATAATCAGAGGTTTGTACTCCTTGCAAGCCTCCAAGTTAAAGCCACCGCTATGAATGATTTTCATCTGCTTTACAATAGTACTCTTCCCAGAATTGCTGGTACCCAGGAGAAGGAGCTTAATCTCTCTTCGTTGTCGCTGACTTTCAGAGCGCAGGTGGCGGTCAATCCTACGGGACCGCCGCGCTGCCTCTTTCTCCTCAGAGCTTTGCCGACATCCCATGGTATAGCAGGCAGTTACAGAAGGGGAAGGTTGGAGACTGTCTCACTCTGTTTGCGTCTGTGAGAAAGATCTGTAGTGTCTTTCAGTTCTCGTGCCAGGTACACCTTGAATGAAAAAAAAAGTCACTATCCAATACCTGACAGTCCAAGATGCCTGTACCACCTAATTCAGTCCCAGCAGGGGTGCAAACATATGTAGATATGTGACCACAGAAATAGTCTCTTCAACAGATCTCATGGCACTCCCCTTTCCAGTGCATAAACAGTGGCACATTCCTGTTAATGAAGAGACACTTCCTTTTGCCACAGTTTGGCTAGATCCATCAAATATTCTTTTCTGTTCTGCATAATTATTTTGCTGCCTTCTGTTCAGAGGTAAGGAGCCGCACTTTCACCTTCTCTGCTCTAGCTCCTGTCTTTTAATTGTATTTTCTGGTTGCTGTGGTGATGCTGCTAGATAAAGCTGAAGCTTGAAGCTCTTTTCAATGGTGCTGTACTTGTTTTGTTTCTCTTCCCCCACTTCTCCAGCTGATCCAGTTCAGCTCTGTAAATCTGTGCTTTCCACCTGCTAAACAATGAGAAAAGAAATGAATGAAATGAGAGACGCTGCTTTCTTGCTGAAAACCACTCGCTTTCTCCTCCTCTTCTAGACTTACAAACCTTTGATTATCCCAAACAGAAAATACAGATGCAAAAATATGTAAAGAAAAGCAAAAATCTAAAACCCTAGCAAGAACATTGGGACAGCTGAAGCTTGCAGACCTAAGAAAATGTGGTTTCTGAACAACAATAAGTCAAATCTCCCTTTCAGCCTTCTGTTTTATTATCTAAACCTACATGAAAACAAACAGTGCTGAGCTATGCCCCAATTTCTCCCTCAGCAAGAGCTTATGGCAGTGCTTTTCCTGCACAGTCCTGTTCTGACTGGTTTTCCTGAAGCAGAAAATGAAAGAGACTCACACTACTTTTCCCTCTATTTATATCAGTATCTGGTACTCAGACAGATGTCCTCCTGAGTTTTCTTTCATCTTTTCTGTTTGCTCTGAACATTTAAATAACAAAATTAAGAAGCAAAAGGAGGTGATTAATTTTGCTCCACATTTTTGTAAAAGCGAGAGTTAGGGATCTTTGCAGAATACAGTAACAGATCTTCTTTCCCCTTGGAGAACAGTACTGTTAAACATACTACCTGCATCCTGCTTAATATAAGTGATGCACTACTACAACAAACTTTGTAAGCTTCTTTGCATAGCCAGCCTAAGTGTTATTAAGCCTCCTCTCTTCCATTTTTAATACAGGAAATTCTGAGATGCACTAAAACAGTGACTACAAGGTAAATGTTTCATACAAAAAGCACAGGAAATGCCATCCCAAGCAAGGGCTTGACAGCTTTTCAGTGACTGTTAGAGCAATTATTCTTTCCCAAACTAGGGCTTAAGCCTACTAGTTGGAACTCTGCAGAAGGCAACAGCAGGAAGCAGTTACTTCTCACAGAGGGAAAACACATTACTTATAGCTGATTGGTGATAACTTGCCTCTTTTCTAGGAAGGGCTTGCTACTCCCACTAAGCTCTGAGCACAGTGGGCAGCAGTCACAGATGTCATGGCTTCCTCATCGTATGCTGGCCTGAGCCCACTTTGGCACCTATACTGCTGTCTGTTTACTTGTGTCTAGAGGGTCTTCAGTGAGTATTTTTAGAAACTAAACTACATGCTTCTGAGATACCCTCAGAGGAAGACTTAAGAAAAATTTCAGAGCCTACTATAGAAATATAACTTCTACTACATTTTAATAAGACTAAGTCTCGCAAATTCCATTTTCAATGTTGCTCTAGAAGTCTTTGGGAGTTTTTCCTGCATGAACTTACTAGCATTTCAATGTAGATGTGACAAAGCATTAAAATACATATTGAAGAGGATGATTCCACACTACTAGGAGAGGGACAGAATGATCCAAGCCAGATGCTGAAGCTCTAGCTTTTGTGAGAAAAGAAATTGGACTACAACTACTTGCAACCTCATGTATTTTGCTTTCTCTCTTTCTTAAGCATCACAGCAGAAATTTTAGTGGACAAAGAACATTTCAGCACTCAAAAATAGTAATCTTTAATTAAGTATTTTAAATGGAGCACTGGATTTACCAAAATGTATTTTTCCTTTCCCCACATCACCTACATCATAGGGTAAGGTTCACTTACATAGATATATAGCAGGATGCAGAGGGTCTCATTCGTACTGCTCCGGTTGAAAAATATAAACTTATATTTACATGACTTCTATTTTAATGTGTAACGTGTGTTTATAAATGCATATAGATTTGATACTACATGTTTTGTAAGATACTGTTTTATTGCTGAGAACTTAAACTGTTGTTTTGTCTTGCCAAATGTCATTATCAGCCAGTGATTTCAGTGAGATCTTGCTTTACCCTCCCAGTAGCTCTCCATCATAGAAATTAATTATGTCAAATAATAGTTCTAGCTAATCCTTAAATAATGTTAATTGAGATATAGCACAGCATAAATACTTTGAGGCGGGGGCTTCACAGATATAGATAAGGACAATTACATCAGCTGCAATACTGGAGAAGGGTTATATAGTTAAAATAAAGCTCAGCTTTTTACGTTTCTTAGCATGTCACATTTACATGAAAAAAACATTGTTCTTAGAACATTTATTTGGGAGGATAGAAGGGAGAAATAAATTCTATACCTAGGCTTTCATTCCTCAGGTGGCAAAAACAAGTGTAATGATCTCAGACTCTTCTGTTTAGCAAGAGGCATTACTATTCTTCTGTTATTTGTATATTAATTTTTTGTCGCAGTGGCCTATCCTAATCTTAGTTTCTGTATTTTGTATAGCTTTCTCTCTGAACATGTTTAAAGTCACTTACAGATCTCTTCTGATTTATGATGGGCTGACAAGTGGAAAGGTAGAGTCTATGTATCTGCTTTGAGATCCAAGTCCCCACTGATATGCATCTCTGGTGTCTACAGTTCTGTAACAGTGTCTAGGAATTAGGCACGATCTTGCATCACACTGGATCCCTTTTCACCAGTTTCCAATACATAAATGTGAAGACATCTGGGAATGTCAAACATGCTTGTATGGAAGGACAAAGAGTTACGGCAATCGTTGTTAATCCCTTAGCATCAGAGAAAAAGGTATAGAGACTGGACAGAGTCAATGGATGACAATTTTACATATTTGTTCCTGAAGTTTCCTGGGATGTTAGCCTGGGACAGTTGAGCTTGCAATCACTCACCCTTAAGTACTTTTACTGATTCTATATTTATCTTTAAATGCCTTCCTAACTCTAACCCTGCTTAAGGGAGAGACATAGTTGAACCAATGTAGACCTGGATAAAATTCACAAGTACCAGGATGACTCAGTATAGGTCAGGATTGGTACTGGTGTATTGAGGAGAGCATTATGTTTTAGTTGGAGAAGTTGAATAGATGATTGTTGCAAACAATTGCAAAAATTCCACAACTGGAACCCTGACCACAAAAAAGCGAACACCCAAAAAAACAGTATATGAAGTATACCAATTAAAATGTGCTTTGATATCCCACTCATTCCTGTCTCTCCTTAGATTTCCAGAACACTATTAACATACACATTTTCAGAACAGCAGCTTTTACTGAGTTTTCAAGATCTCCTATACAGTATTTCAACTTCCCCTCTTCTTTCTTGCTCCTATTTAAACCTGCCTTCTAACTGCATTATTTTAATCTCTGTGCTCTAACACCTGCTTGTGAATTCATCCCAAATCCACATGCATGAAATTAATTAACTAGAACAGGACATCTACAGTAACCAATTCCAGAAGCTAACCATGACAGTCTTATTCTCAGTTGTTCTAAACTAGTTATCTAGTCAGTACATCACATCACCTCTATATGACAATTCAGAGTGCTTATCTGTCATCTTTGCCTGAATGGACCATAGTGTATGAGCAGGCTTGTAATTTAAGCATTTTGGGTGCCTTAAATTTAAAGATGTCCGGAATCCTTTGCCCCAAATACACTGTGTATTGCTACTACCTGGTCTAAAATTCTACAAGAGAGTCTTAATATCAGCTTTATTTATCTTACTTCCCGTTGCACATCAGAAGGACATTAGCACATGAAGAACAGATTAATCAGCAGAACACATTAACATGGTAATTAGCACAACTTCATTTACTCTAATGCATCAAAGATGTGTAAAGGAAAACCCTCCAAAATGAGGAGTTATACTTTCTTCAAATAATCGGCTTTTTCCAATGGTTATAGAAGATGAAAAATAAGAGTTGAGGAAGCTGATTTTTAATGAGTAACTTTCCAGCCACACAGAGAGAAGAAAAAAATTACTCTGTTAGACATCAAGCCAACTTCTTATTTTAACTATATAAAAATTAGAGTTGGCTCCATTAATCATGTTTATTCTGACATGTTCAGAACACTTCAAATTGGTTTTCCTTTAAGTCCTCATCAACCGAGGCTTAGTTTTCATATCATTGATAAGACCACTGGTCGAATCCTGCGTGACATTTTCTACATATCTCTGTAATGAAAAATTTTGCAGGAAGCACATATGGGCCTCCCTCTCCTCTCTTTATTCAAGTTTCATCCTGAAAAAGAGAGGCTTGCTAGAGACAAGAAGAAAGAGGATACATATTCCTTTCAAAATGCATCAGTACTTATGATAAATCTAGAGATTTTATGCCTATATAAGATAAGCAGATCTTTTGTAAACTTTGTGTTATTGGCCTCAACAATCACTTATGACTAACAGTTTGGTAGAAAGACAGTTTCAAGAAAAAATTACTCTTTTCAGACAGGTTGTACATTCTGTAGAGTATTTCCTATTGCATATTTCCACACCACATTCAGATGCATCATTAATTTTCCACAGCATTTTACATATCAGCTATTCTGCTTGCCATTCATTTAATAAGTTTAACACAGAAAAGGATAGCGTAGAACCTACTTACTGTAGGGAAGACCAGGAGTATGTAAACGCTGTGTAAATTAGTTTGATGCTACTGAATTTCCATTTTTTTGGTTTCTAGTCATCCCTATTGCATATATTGCAATGATATTTGGATCTCACTATTTCAAGTAGGAATACAATGACGTGATTATATTACTGCTTTGTAAAGCAGAGTACTAGATACTATTTCCAAATAGTTCACTACAGTAAGAAAGTTTGATTTATTTAAACAAGTTTTCCCACATACACTGAAAACCATCTTCCACGTTAATAGTCGCTACTTTTTAAAGTTTTAAAGTTTAGGAAAAGAATAACTTTACAAACTATTATGTTACTATGTTTTACTGTCCTGGC